TTGTCAGCAAGGATGCTGTGCAAGACCGTGTTCAAAACTGTTTAATGAACCACTCTTCTTTTTTTTTTTTTCCCATCTAGCAGAAGATGTTACAGACACTTACTTTTTGCACATATTTGTTTTGAAACAGAAAACATTCGGAATTATCTGAATTGAATGTGAAAGTTCTAGAAGCTCTGGAGCTCTATAACAAACTGATGAATGAAACACCGATGTATTCAGCCTACTCCAAACTCCACCATCCCGCACAATACCCACCTACATCTTCTGGTGTTTCAGTGCAGGTCAGTACTCCTTTCTGGAAACAGAGACTTTCCTAATATAGATTTCTATTTAAAAAGATGACAGTGAAAATGAAGTGTACGCTTTCTGGCGAGCCTAAGAACAATCTGACATTGCCTGGTGACTTTTTATAGCCTTTAGAATAAAATATCATTCACACAGGAGAACAAGAGTACTTCCATTTGCAGTTACCTGCTTGCACAATAAGGTATCGTTGTTGATTTTGCTCTAGTTAACAGAAGGCTACTGGATTGAAAATAGTAAAAGATTCCTTCCATGATTAATTTTTTTTACAGTTAGAATTGTGTGTTTCAGCAGCTTGGTGGATGTTCTTGCTGTTGAGTCATGTCCTCAGTCTTAAAGTAAAAATGTTGCCTTCTTATCTAATAGCAGGGATGTGAGTGAACTTTAATATTAGTGCATTAATCATGAGTGCAGTGTACTTTTTCTAAATATAGAAACATTAGTCTAGTTTTAGCTCTTTTTTTTTTTTTTCCCCTCAAGAAATGAACATGTATTAGGGGGTGTACTTGCTTAAAACTGTTTTACAGTATCTCTAATGTGCCATATTCATGTTTTAAGAAAACAAAAATGAGGGAGAATTATATATAGATAGATAGATACAGATTTTTTTTTTTTAGGATCCTTTTTGGAGAAAGTGTGGAACGAGTGTTTTTACTTTAAGTGAATTTTACTTTGATGTTAATTGTTCAGTGGGAAAAGAATAGTTGCCATAGCAACTGCTAGATCTGAAAATATGTCAGTTAAAAGTAATTCCGTGTCCTTAACTCCTGGTAACGATGGAAAATTCATTATATTTAGAGGTTAAAAAGTAATTTGAGCTAAAAGGCAACTGGAGTTTACTATTTCTTCCAAGATACATACTTCCAGTGGTGAAAAATACAAGATAACGCTAACCATGCTGAGCTTAGTGCAGCTACTTGGTACAAAATTGTTTGTTCCTTCAGTGTCCAAAGTCCCAAATGAATGAGCAGCATAGACTTCTGTAGACTAAGCACATTATAGCACCTGTTCTATCTGAATTTTGGGTGAAGATTTGCATTTTCTTAAATCAGAAATGCAAGAAATGAAAGGTTTTGCTTTCCTTTTGTGTTACAGTCTTAGAATATTCTTACATTTTAATTGCCAAAATGTGTTAAATAACAGATCTCACATGGTGCCTATCTTGCTTCTCAATGCTGTGCATCAAAATATGTGAGGGTTGGACATCGTAAAGATAAGGCAGATGAGAAAGGAAGTAGTAAGGTCTCTGGGAGGGGCAGAGGCCTTGTAGATGGTACAAAAGGTTCTTCTTTCAGATATGAAGCACTGACCTGGTTAAAAAAAGTATTTCTGAAAAAGATACCTTCTGCTGAAATCAATGATAGACCTATTTAAAACCTATGATGAGAAGTTACATGTTCTGGTTTTAGAACCATGTTGGGAAAATGAACTGATGTTCATTCAGCCTTTGAACCCTAACATACTTGTTCCTTGTCGTGGTATTCTGTGCTACATTTGCTGCTACTTGATTGAAAATAAAAGGTATATAATGGGGTTTTTTATTATTATTTACACTGTAGTGGTATTTTGTGCCATATTTGCTGCTACTTGATTGAAAATAAAAGGTATATAATGGGGTTTTTTTTATTTACAGTCGTACCCTGTACAGCCACCTAGTGGAAACTACATGATCCAGGGTGTTCACCAAGTCACCATTTCCCCAGGTTACAGCCTGGGACCTGAGCAGATGGGGCAGATGAGGTCTCTGCCTCAAAGTATAAATTCTTCTGGAGCAACGCAGCCAGCTCAAGCCGCGTATTTAAGGTATGGCTTCAGCAACCTGTTAAATCACCTTTTTCCTGACTGTAATTTAATTACTTTGTTCAGAGGTTGTGTGTTCTTGCACTGTGTACAACGACACGTATCACTGTTTGATCATTTTGAAAATAGACAGATCACTTTTGGACTAAGCAATATTCTTATTTGCCAATCTGCTTATCGGATAAATAGACACGAACTCGTCAGAGTTAAGATTTGTTTTGTTTTGTTACAGCCCAGGGCCGGATTCTGTGTTAAACCAGACGTATGTGAACCAGAACCCTGGCCTTCCCTCAGCTGCCAGCACAGCTGCTTACACCCAGCAGCAGATGGGAATATCAGTGGATATGTCGGCTTATCAGAATAACACGTCGAGTTTGGCTCAAGGACCAGGTTATCCCGTGGCGGTTCCTCCTCATTCCGTTCTACAGCAGCAAACAAATTACCATCAACAGCCTCTCCTTTAAAAACAAACCAGCTCGTATTTCTGAATTAATGAATAAAGGTTGCCTGACCTAATGGTTTTTATTAATACCTGTCAATGAATATCAAAATACATTTTCCTTTTAAATAACCCAACTTACTGTGTTGGGGTTATGCAGAGTAAAAAAATATGCATCAGATCTGATTGTTAAGCACTTGCATAAAGGTAGTTTGTACTAGATTAGCTGATGGTTTAAAATAATTTCAGATTACTTTGAGCCCCTATTTCAGTGGTTTCAGGAAATGCCACTTGTGAATCTTAAATTCAAAGGTTGTCCAAAAATAGTTTAAGTGTGTTTCTGAAAACTTGAATGCTTAATCATTGTTCTGCATTGCTCTCATGATGCGTTCCCTCCTCTGGTATCTGACTGTAAAACGTTTCTTACCATAATCTTTCTATCCAAGTGGCTTTAGAGAATCTCTGCTGACTTAGACGCCGCCTCCCCTCTGGGCTGCTGTAGCGAGCTTTGCAGTATGATGTGCACTGCGTAACTGGAACAACTGCACGAGTTCAGCAGATGAGAGCTGGAAGAGAAAATGATTTGATATTGTGACAGTGAGGGCCATATACCTACAGAAATATGAAAAATGAGATTTTTACAGTGCTGCCTGTTAGATTTTTTTGGGAAGCTACAGAGACCTCCTGATGTGTTTCTCTTGGGGTCTCGCTAGAATTCGCTTGTGTCTTTGGGCAGCGGTGGTACTGGAAGCACAAGTCTCCTTTGCCAGAGCAGGCGAGGGATGCTCACTCCCAGCTGACTGTGTGGGCACTCTGGATACAAGGTGCTGAGCCAGAAACTTGTACAGAATCTCTTTTTCCTTTTTGGATGTGTTTAGAAGTGAAGGAGTATTGTAGTTCCTTGCAGTAAAGGAGGAATGTTTGACGCTCAAGACTGTGAGAATCTACCTTGTTCCCTTTCCAGTGGGGAGCAGAGTGGAACAGGAATCGCCTTTATGGGACCAGGGGGTTCTCGCCTCTCTTGGATTTCCTTTCTCTGCCACCATTTCCATGGCTAAATAAACACTGATGACAGGCAGAGAAACTCTTAAACCGTTTGGAAAAGGTGCATTGCTCTGTCTGTACAAGGGGAATACACGTGCTTTGTGAGTGGGGCTGTGCTCCTCGTTCAATGCAAGGAGCGTATTCTTTAGAGAAGGGATTGCCTGGGAGCTGTGGAAGCGTAGCGTTCGGTGGCTAAGAAAAGACATCTAAGAATTTCTTCCCTAATGCACTTTTTTTAATGGGTAGGGTTTGTACAAGAGGAGCAGATGAGCTGAATTATCTTTCAGGAATGTGGGATTTCTGGTTTTTTATTGTTTCAACCTCTGAAAAAAAAAGTTGCTTTGTTCTCCTCCTATTTACCTCCTCCCCTTAGCATAGGCATATTTATACAGATTTTAACAATTTTATGATGAGTAAGAATCTTTAGATTGTGAAAATAACGGAAGGAACTCACGGCTAAAAGCATCTTGATTGAATGCACAGGACTCCCAAGTGTCTAAATTCTATTTGTATAAATTTTCTACCAGATGAGAACTCGCAGATTGGAGACTGTTGTTGAGTAACAAAAACTACCCCTCACTCAGCACCGCCCCCATTTCTTTTACAGTTTATTTAATTATTTAGGATCATGACCTTATTCATCTGCAGCCTCACGCTTATGCAAGAAGGTGTTCAGTACCTGCTCTTTAAATGAGATTTTTATTTAAATCTGTGTAATTGGAAGGAAGCTTTTGTCTTTTCTTTTGACACGACTTTAATTTGTCTTTCTCCTTCCTCTTGAAGTCGTTTAGTATAAATAACACGTTGCAATACTGAAGTATTTTGATAACTTGTTCCTTGCGTTCTTTAAGAAGAATAATTAATTTCAGTGCTGCTGTTCCAAATTCTTGTTGTTTGGAGATTTTTTTTCTTTTTTTTTTTGGTAAAAGTTTACTTTGTTCCAAGTTGGTATGTAGTTAAACTACACTTTAATTTATGTAGATTCTCCGTGTTTGGTAGTAATTTGAAATTAAGGTAGGTATTTTTATTGGATTCAAAACTTTGGTCCAGCAGAATAATATTGAAAATCTTAAATTGAGGTGGCTAGACAGATATGATTTGATTATGTTCAGTTAATTATTAACTATCAATAATGTATATACTCATTTGTCTGAGATTTTCTACGCAGCTACATGTATGCATACTGTTAAAGCCTGAAATTTTATAAAAGCAGGATTTGTCATTCTCTCATCTCTTATATTCCTAATTCTGTGATATGCAACTTGTAGATAGTGTAAAATAATTTAATTATTATTAAAATAGTGTATTTAGAGGGTTTTGGTGTTAATAGGATCTGGTTTTTCTCTTCATACTTCTACACATTATCATATTTATTTTTAAGGCCTGATTGTAACTGAACATGCTGCCAAAGGATTTCTCTAACTTCAGATTTCTACATTAGGTTTCTACCTGCTGTTTTATATCAGGAATCAACGGTAGAGAACTTCAGCTTTTTCATAGAAACTCCGAATGATTAACATAGAAATTTGTGCAACTTTATAATGAGAATTTTGTTGTAATATATTTGTTTCACGGGTGTTGAAAATGTCAATACTTAGATAAATTTGCTTCTCGTATGAGTTGGCAACCTATTGCGTCGGTAAGTTATAGTCGCCTGGAAGCAACAACTGAATTTGTCTGTAACCTCACCACGCAGAGATGTGTTTTGAGGAACTGTAGTCTTTCATACAGCCTTGATGTGATAAATGCATAATCTCTTTAATTTGGTACAGAAATTACAATGTTTTTTAAAAAAACCCCAAAAATCAAATTGTTTCCATAACAAGTACACCTTAAAAATGATGTTCTGTGTTCGTTTCACTTTAGGTTTTGTTCGTAGATGTTCACGGGCTTGTAGAACAGTGTTGTTCTTTGGAAAGCTGTCCCTCAGAAAGGAGAGCTGAGCGGGACGTGGCTGGAGCTGCAATCTCTTACAGGAATTATTTTCTGATAGGAAGATTGATTTTCTTTTTTTCTTACTTTGTATCTATGCATATTTTCTAAGAAATAACAGGCACTACTCTTGCTTACATTGAACACTGTGATGGGTCTGTTGGATGAATGAATTACTTTTCAGAATTTATGGCTCTTACCAGTTAAATTTTACATGAAGCTGATTCAAACTGTTTTGAATTGGTGAAAATGAAAAATGAAGGAAAGGAAATAGAGCTGGGACAGGTGTTGAGCACGTCTGGGCATCCGCAGCTCCGCTGCCTGCGCCGGCACTGTCACATCTTCTGGTGGGCAGAGCAGGGTTCTGCTTCTGTTTGTCTGGGGTTTCAGGGGAATACGGACTGGTCAACAGATGCATCACAGTTCTTAACAGAAAATTATCTGATGGAGTTTGCAGTATTAAGAAGAGGGGATCTGTTTTATTGGAATATCCACTTGGCCTCCTGTCTGCAATATGCGTGCATTGCCTCGTGTGAATAAAACAGAGTTTGTTTAAGGAGCAGGGGTGGAGAGTCTTCTGTTCACAGTGTGGGTAGCACACGCTGTCAGCAAAGCCAGAGCTCTGGAAGAGACCGTGAGCTGATAGCTTGGCTGCACCTCACCTCTGATGAGCTCTTCTAATTGGGATCCAGCCCATGTTTCCCTTGTTGTCTGTAAGGCTTAGCGAGAGAACACTGCTGCGTGTCGGATATTTACTGTTGGGGAATTTACTCTTACTTAGAGTGATAATAGACTTTGCCACTGAGAAGGTGTTTATACAGAAAACAAATATACTGCTCTTTAAATTTGATTGCATTGCACTTCTAAAGTAAGAGACGTGATTGCTTGCAGCTTATTAGAGGTTTTCTCTAAACAAATTCTCCAGAGATTTCTAGCTCATCCAAAACAAGAAGAAATCCTTGTGCTTTAAAGATGCCTTCTGCTAAGGCTGTGAATGGACATCAAAAAATGTTTGCATTTCGTCGTTTATTTACAGCCCTTCTGAGTTACTGACCCAGGGGGGTTGATTTCAGGTCACTTCAGGCTGCAAATCTAGATCTACAAAACCAAAGCATTTACTGAATTACTGACACCTTCTTGTTTGTTGTTCATTTCAAATCTCAACCTAAGCACTACAGAAACGCACAATCCCAGCATGGCCTGGATTGGAAAAGCCCTTTAAGCTCATGGAGTCCAACCGTGAACCCAACACTGACAAGTGCCCTATGCCTAACCCATGTCCCTCAGCACTGTGTCTACACGACTCTTCAATCCCTCCAGGGATGGGGACTCCACCACTGCCCTGGGCAACCCCTTCCAATGCCTCAGAACCCTTTCAGCAAAGAAATTCTTCCTTACATCCCATCTCAACTGCCCTGGCCACAACTGGAGCCCATTTCCTCTTGTCCTGTCCCTTGCTCCTTGGTTGAACAGACCCACCCCCACCTCACTCCACCCTCCTTTTGGGGAGTCATAGCCACACAGTCACACTAAGATTAATGCTTAGAGAAAAGTACCCTTCCTCGTACCAATTTAATGATTAAACAATTTAAAAAATAATGCAATTTAGACTTCAGCATTCATGACCCACATTCGACTTTGACAAAGAAACCAGGCTGAGTTCAGGCAAGGAATTAAAAAAAAAAATCTGCAGTTTGTGTCTGTGGCAAGAGCGAAAGAAATGATGTTCTGTTGTACTTGGACCTTCATCAGAGGGCTCTGTCTGTGTGTGTGTGTGTGTGTGTGTTCAGAGCTTGCTGGTGTAGAAGAGCTCAGTTCACAGATGCACACCTTTATTTTTTTACACATTTCCGTGGGTGTAATGTGCTTGTAGTTAAAGCACGGCAGCAGGAAGCAGGAAATCCAGGTCTTACTTCCAATTCTTCCCTAGCTTTCCTCTTTAACTTCAAACAAATCACAGAATGTTGGGGATTGGAAGGGACCTCGAAAGATCATCCAGTCCAATCCCCCTGCCAGAGCAGGAACCTAAATGAGATCACACAGGAAGGCGTCCAGGCGGGTCTTGAATGTCTCCAGAGAAGGACTCCACAACCTCTCTGGGCAGCTTATTCCATCGCCCTCACCCTCACTTCACCTCCTCATTTATCTTTTCTCCTCTCTACCATGGAATTTTTTTCCCTCTCTGCCACAGAAATCCCAGCACTCTCTGTCACTGGTAGTTGGTGCCAGTTGATGCCCTTTGATGCTTGGACTCGTTGGGTGGCACCGTGAGCTACGTGGTCGTGGCAGCTGTGGCTCG